ATGCTGAACAACACCATCATCCACAACAATCACATGTTCCTCTTTCAACATTAAAGTTTTTAATTTTTATCATTGATGATATTCCTTCTTCAAAATGGCCCTCAAGATTCCAAGAGTTCTTAGCATGGGGACTAGTTGAATTAAACTCTCATCCTAATATTACGATGAATACAATATTGATTAGATTTGTTTTCAGATTAATTGGTACTCTGAAAAACTTTTGGGATAACATTGGTGAATACAGACAACTTTAGTTTCTTCAATGCCCAACAATTACAGAAGCTGTCTCTCAATTTGCAGCAATCTTTTATGGACAAGAAACTCATAGATTGGAAAAGATCAGAGAATAATTCTTCAAACTAAAATATTGTTCTCTCCATCCAAAAGACCTTGACAGACACTATCAATAATTTTCTCAGTATTTTTACATACTTGATGGATTCGATGATGTCAATTTAAAGCAAGTATTTCTCAATTCTGTTTCAAAAGAACTTGCACAGCAAACAAGGACCCAATTGAACCTCAGATCTCTTGATATTAGATCTATGACCCTTGAAAATATCTACAATATAATATTGAAAGCACTTGATAAGATTATCAAAGAATAAAAATACATCAAAACCTTGGTACGTAACTCCAAAAAGTTAGAAAAGCCATGCTCTTACTCCTCTTCAGGCTTTCAAATCAAATGTTCTTCCAAAGATCCCACATGTTTTTATAGCAACAAGAAAAAAGAGCATTTCAGAAGATTCAGACCTTTCAAACATCCAATCTTTTCTCGACCTAGACATAAGAAGCTCTTCAGATATGCTGATAAGCCCAAAAGATTTCAAAGATTCAAATTTGCAAGAAAGAAAAAAGATCCAAAAATCAAAAGTTCAAAATGTTTTCTTTGTGAAAATCAAGATATTTTTCAAAGAATTGCCCAAAGTCAAATAAAAAATCAGTCAAGATGATTCAAAACATTGCTAATATCTCTGGTATCAATATCTCAGATGATGATCTTGAATCAATTTTTTCCCTTGATGATAAACAGAATGAAAGATCTTTATTTATGATCAAGCAGTTTAATGATGTTAAGTTTGCAGATTCAGACTACTCAGATGACTTCACAGATGATAAATGTTATGAGTATATGTAAGTCCAAGAACTCCAAAAAATCAAAACTCTCCAACTTCCAAAATTACCGTTAGCTCCAGTTCAAATCTTCCCTCACAAACATTCCCATCCTATAACAGTCACAACTTTTTTTGACATTGGTGCAGCCCAAACCATAGCAAACCCCCTTGTCTTACCCAAAAATCTTTGGACAAAATAAAAAACCTTCTTCAAAATCGTTGATGAAAATATATTTTCTATAGACTTTATCAATAACCATGTTACTCTTCAAATCTTTTCAGGTTGTCAAATAACTCAAAAGATTTTAGGATCTTCACTTCTTCAGAAAGACCTTATTATTGGTTTTGATATCATTAGCAGTATACCAAGTTTAAAGCTTAGTAAAAAAAGTATCAAGTTTGAAAGTTATTTTAGACCTTGGAAAAACTTTTCCAATCTCTTCACCCTCACCATTCAACCAGATGTTTTTCAAAAATTTAGACAAAAGTTCATTTACTTTTCTTGTACAGAAAATCATTCAGACTTCTTTAAAAAATGTGACCACCCACTTTGGAAAAATCCTAAATTTTTCATTTCTTTTCCTTTCAAAAGAGATGAAAATGCCAATCCCACAAATGCTAGTCATTCAGGCATGAACCCAGATCATTTCAAGCAAGCAATCCAAGAATGCTCCCTTCTCCAGGCTCAAGGATTAATTGAACCAACCTCCTCTCCATGGGCATGTGAAATGTTTTATGTCAACAAATGTTCAGAACAAGTTCGTGAAAAATTAAGATTGGTAATTAATTACAAGCCTCTAAATATTTTCTTTGCAGATGATAAATTTTCTCTTCTATATAGAAAAACTTTGTTTGTAAATTTGACAAATTCAACGATATTCTCAAAGTTTGACTTCAAAGCAGGATTTTGGCAACTAGGTATACATTCACAGGACAGATACAAAACGACGTTTTGCATTCCTCAACACCATTTCCAGTGGACAGTAATGCCTTTTGGATTAAAAGTTACTTTTTCACTGTTTCAAAAAGCAATGACAAAGATATTTGCTCCAATTCTTGATAATGCTTTGATTTACATTGATGATATCTTACTATTCTTTTCAGATGTCATATCTCATACATAATTATTGGATAAGTTCCAGCAAATTGTTCAATAGTATGGGATAATGCTCTCAGAGAAAAAGATGATCATTGGTGCTTCAAAAATTGATTTCTTAAGGATGCATCTAAAAGATGATCAATACATAGCTCAACCTCACATTGCTCAGACACTTGCAGATTTTCCTAATGAAAATTTTTCAAAGAAGCAAATCCAACAATTTTTCGGCATAGTCAATTACATAAATGAATTTCTTCCAGATCTTGCACAGTTAACTCATCCTCTCAGACAAATGCACAAGAAAAAACCACCCACGTGTCTCAAAAATAAACAAATGCAGTACAGATCTTGAAGATAAAAGCAAAATCACTTTCAATTTTAAAGATTTCCTCTAATGAAAAAAGAATATTGTAGATAGATGCAAGTGAACAGTTTTTGTCAACAATTCTTTTAGAAGAAAAAGATGAAAACAGACAAATCTGTGGTTACAAGAGTGGAAAATTCAAAGATTCGAAACTCCACTATCACTTTACACTAAAAAAAATTTTAGCTATAAAGTATGGCATCCAAAGATTTGAATTTTACCTCATTGGATATCACTTTCTTGTGGAATTAGAAATGTCTTTCACTATAATAACTTATTATTAGTATGATCTTGGGTCAGTATAACTTTTCTTTAGCTGAAGAAAATGGGTCAATAATCTATTTAACAGTTTAACAAGAATTTTTGATGCAGAGGATCCATAATATTATGGCAACTGCAGAGCATACTTAACTTGTATCACTGTAAACTATGGAATAGCTTGAAGAAAAACATGAAGCTAAAAGCTTTAACTATGGCAAAAAGAAGATGGAATTACCAAAAGAGAAAAAAAGGTTTTTTAGTCAAACATATTTTATAAAGAAAGGTTTGTTACAAGGGATTTTTTGAAGAAATCTTGATCAATTTTTCTTGATCTTTTCTTGATCGATTTTTTTTATGCCTTCTTGAAAAAGTAGCATCCTATTTATATAAGAAAAAAGTAAATGAATAGTAACCTAATAGGACAAAGCTAGGACAAAGCATAATTACAACTTTACAAGTGGCTTGACATAAAGCTAAAGTAAAGTGACTCATCACTATGACTCATCACTTATTTGACATAAAGTAAATGTGACTAATAAAGTAAACATGACTTGACTTAGACATAAAGTTGATGAAGACTTGACATAAAGTTATTTTGATGTTGAGGCATCATAATTAACTCTTTGAAGTCTTCTAGAGAAACTAAAATTATCACACGTAATTATACATTATTATACTAAAACAGGGAATCTTTTGTCTTGGAGTACCATGAGTGTCTTTCTTTCATGAGCATCATTTGAAAGAACGATAAGTGTGCTCTGAAGAGAGGTTGAGGTGTGAGTTGTCTGCTCTTGGTGCGAAATCATAGCCTATGGTTTCTAACCATTGATCTGAATCAAAATCTTCAAAAGAGTCTTGGGATTCTTGTCATTCCATTTGTGGTAGAACTTTATGAGATTGCCAGTAAGGATTCCATTCTACTCGTCCTACATGGTCAAGTTCAAATCTGGTAGTGTTAGAAAGAGGTTCTGTTCAAGCACCATCAAATCTGGTTTCATAAATCTTTTTATTAATTTTAAGCTGATAATTGTATTCTGAAGGATAATTTTCCCATGAAACTTCATCTTAGAGCTCGGGCTAATTTTGCTTGAAAATTTTGTGATTCATTTCACAAATTTGTCTATGAAATTCAATGTATTCAACGAGATGATCAAATTGTGAATTAAACAGCGAATATTCTTGAAAGCTATAAATTACTGCATAAGAGAAATACTGGGAGTCTTTTGTCAAACAACTACAAGATCTGTGAAAAATTAAAACAATATAAAGGTAAAAAAAAACTTTTATATGAATCCAAATAAAAATAAGTCTGAACCAGATGAAGAAAAACTGAAGATGTTGATTGAAATGATATCCAATGAAATAAAATTTTTGATTTCATACTTTACAACCAAAATTTTTTTTAGTGTAATGTGATAATAAAATTCTGAATCTTTGAATTTTTCACTCTTATAACCACAGATTTATCTATTTTATTTTTTATTTTTTTTATCAAAACTGTTCACTTGTATATGCTTGTTTGGCAATTTTACAACTATTATTAATGCTCTTATTTTTCAAGCTAAGTAAATGGAAAGCAAAAGGTACAAAATTAAGTCTTTGTCAGCCATTGTCAATCATCTTTTGATTCTACTAAGCCTTAAAAAAAAAAAAAATCCAAGCAATGTAACACGCCTATATTTTAAAAGTATTTACGAATGTTACATCCCAGCATTCAGCAGCAGCATTGCATTGCCGCACCCCTGCAAAGAACTGCTAGAAAGTAACAGCACCTCCACTATGACAGCTTTAAGCAAAATAAATTGAATTCATGGAAGTGGAAACGTTATGCGATAGACAAGAGAGGGCAAAAACCTGAAAATGGACTAACACAGTTCAAATGGGCTCCCTTACAGGAAAGGAGAAAAAGACCATCTCTCAAAACAAATATAATAAAAAGAATTCATGGCATCAAGTCATCAACCATATGATCAAACTACGGGGCAAAAAATTGCCCAAAAAATTGGATTTCTGAAAGTAAGAAACATGCTAATACCATATAACAACATTACATATACGGGAAGGCATCCAAATGCCTCAAAAAAAAAAAAAGAAAAAAAAGAAAAGCAGTTTCCATAGATCATACAAACTATAAATATTAAAAACCCTAATCCGCATTTCCAATTCACCCTAGAGTTTCAACACCAAAACAACCGCCATAATCCACCTAGGGGGGCAATGAAAACAAAGGAAACAGCTCTGATTTTTTTCAAGAGAAAAAATTTGGAAAACAGGTCTATGTTTTCATTTCACCCCCGATTCTGGAACATGACATTCATCTGGGGAGAGAATGAAAACACGGGCCATCTTACCGAACTAACATGCATAAAATTCATCTGCACCATTGCCGAAGGTTCTCGAGCAAAAGTTTAACCATCACGAAGCTAATATACCTAAATAAAAGAGAGCCTGAATATACACCCGGGGCGGCTAAAAGGGATTCAAGCTTTTTTCTTCTTCCTTTTGGTCATGATCATAACATTTTGATCTTTTGGAGTTTCAATTACGTGGGTGAGTCTGCCAACAAGGGTTGGCCCAGAGCTGTTGAAACCATCCCGTGGAGGGGAAAAGACCACCGGCAAGTACTCATTTGTATGACATGGGAAGGATGACTTCCGAAATTGTTCCCTTAAAGCATCTTTGCCCTGGAGAATTTCAATCAAAATGAAAGAGACGATGGTATGAATCAATCAACCCCTAACGTGAAAAGAGATTGAAAAACTTACGAGTGAAAAAAAAAATTCATCGCATTACACAACTATGTCAAAGAGAACAGAGGGGTAAAAGAAAGGAGAAGACCCTTTAAATGGAAAATGGCAAATCTTACCTGGAATTTCGCAATACCAATTTCACAGGTTTTCTTCCGACTATCTCCAAAGCTCCATTCTCCGTTGTTGAAGGCTCTATAAAACCTTAATGCAGCAACAGCACTTGTGAAATTGACAAATGCAAATCCCAAATTTAAATGAAACCTAGAAAAAATTGTCAGTAGCCGGTTGGATCAGAACGCCATAATTTTTAAGCTCAAATAATATAGAGTAGAATAAGAGGAAAACAAATAATGAGAAGAGGCAAAGATGATAATAGAGATTAATTACCCAAAATCCATGGGCAGATATAGGAAATCATATGCAGATTTACAGAAATTAGACCCTGGCTGAGCTTTTCTATTTTCAGTCCGACAGTGATAATCCAGCATGCGCTGCAAATCAACCCTTCTGTTCATTTATCAAAAGGAGTTATGTATCAATGGTAACATAGAACCCTGATGCATCTAGAAGTCGATGTTCATGTACATGCAGTTACATTCATGGTGTTAACTTTTGATGTGATGCGATACGTTTTCATGGCATCAATGTAGAGTACATGTGCCATGCATGTTTGGAAAAGCCATACATGAAAATGAACATTTCCAATGAAAATTAAAGAGATTTTCACACAAAAATTACTTCCGTACAGGTACAGACTACAAAAGGGGCAAACAAAACTGAAGAACCAATGGGAACACTGACTTCTCTTCTTCCAGCTTATGCAGACCATTCCCAGGTGAAACGTGGCAAAAAAAAAAAAAAAAAACTGAGACAAAGAGATGGAGAGAGAAAAGGAAGTGTTACTTGACCGCCATGGACAAACAACCTATAACAAACACAGAGAAACTCAAAAATGGTGAAAGAGATGGGTCATGTACAGTGGCTAAAGTAACCAGCAAAAGACACCGAATCTGGAAAATGAAACAAAATCCAGAGAACTAAGATAAATCATGGGTTCATGGCAGCTGAACCATGTATGGCAAGACATAAGGGAAAATAGAAACCCTGCAGAGAATAAATAAAATAGAAATAAAAAAAAGGCACAAGAGAAAGAGAAACTACTGGAAGTGATTAGGAACGTTTTTGATCATGACAGAAGTCTTTCCATCAAGTTTTGTCTGTTTCTCATCGGTTACAGGAGGCAATAAAGGAACATCCGAAGAAGCTTTGATCTTCTCAGCATCCTCTTTTTTGACCCAAACCCCTCGGCTATGCATGGGATACTCTCTCGGTGGCTTCAACCTAGGAGGAATAAACCCCCATTTACCTTTCTTCTTTTTCTTAACGATCCTCTCAGACCAATAGTTTATCCCATTATATGGAATAGATTCTGGCCTATGGAACACTTTACTCCATGGATGTGGCTGTTTTTCTGAGTCATATAGGTTTAAACACCCTCCCTTATTATCCCATGTTCCTGGAGAACAATATCCAAAGCTAGGATAGGGACAGAAGTCAAGCGACACAAGGTGGTGTAAAAATATTCCAGATTGAAGTTCTGACACTTGCCGGAGCAGTGAGGGAGCTTCATATGAATGATGCGATTCCAAGGGAAACTGATGAGGCAGGTAAATTTTATCTTGCGGATAACGGGGTTCACCAATTGGTGGAATGGATTGAGGTTCATAGCTTGAAGCTAATGGGTTTAGTGGCTTAGAGTTTGAGTGTTTCACCGGGGAAGAGGAAGCAGACATCGTTGGAGCCGTGAACTGAAGAGGTGTAAAAAACAAAACAGGAACCGACTTTTTCTTTCAGGTTCAGGAACAGATTATTTGTAGCTGGATGGATAAGTTGAATTATACAGGAAAGGTCCCAAGCATAGTTTGATGTAAGAAAATTTGGAATAGGAGGAAAACAGATGCATTGAGAACACGAGAAAAGGAGATTTATTCAGGCTTTTTTAGCATGGCACAGCTGGCAGGGAAGTTTCAGGATTTTGGCTTACGAGAATCCCTGTAATGGTGAAAGTTGGAATGGGATGTTTCTGGTTATGACCATCCATTTAATGCTTGCCCCGTACTGCCCCCATTACATGACAAACCCAACGTGAGTTTTGGCGGCGTGATATAGAAAGAGACAGAGAAAGAGAGTCAGAGGTTATCCTTGATTCTCTATGCAATCTGTTCTCTGCGGGGCATATCGCCATTTCAGTTTTCACCTCTGGAATCTATTTTCATTTTCTTTTCATTTCAGAAGCGTATTTTTGTACTCTTCTTCAACTCAGGTTCGTATGTATTTGAACAGCTGTTAACAAATGAAAAAACACAGTACCAAGTAATGATTGAGCAAAATTTTTTTCTTAATCTTGGGCTAGTGTGATTTTTTTAGTTCTGGATACGATGCAATCAATCACGAAAATTTACTTGGGAAAGATGACACATGGTCGTGTTGTGGATTACTTTTTCTCGAAGGTTTTTCTGAAATAAGCAAAATCATTAACTTTTGGAAGATTGAAAGTTCACATCTCGCCAGGTTTAAGAAAAATCATTAACTGTTGGAAGATTGAAAGTTCACTTGTAGCCAGGTTTAAGAATGGCAAAAGACTGTTAATCATGAGTTGTTAAAGACTAAAGTAGCTGTTTAAATAAACACTTATTATCTACTCCTAATTTTCGTTGAAGACATCGAAGTTTATTAAAGGTAAAAGAAAAAATTTTTGAATTAAAATTCAATAATCAATTAAATTATTATTAAAAATTTAACTATTTTTATTAAACTAAAATTTTAATTGAGTAAAATAAATATTTAAAAATTTAAAATTTAATTAATAAATTTTTAAATTTTTAAATAATTATTAAATTTTTATTTAAGAATATTTTACCTTTATGCCTTTATTAAATTTAATAAATATTTTAGGTAAATCATTGCAGTATTTACACTGTTTAGTAGTAGTATCTGCCCTACTTTGTTTTCCTTTTTTAAGGTATATGCTAAAGTTTAAAATACTTGTGATCTTTATAAGAGTATAAATGATTAAAATATTTGATGAAAATTTTAAAAAATAAATTTAATAAATAATACAAAAATATTTTAAGTTTTATTAATAAAATAAATAATTTATGAATATAATAAAATTTATTTATATTCTATTCATTTCATTTAATAGATATGACATTCCATGCCATTATTTTTTTTAGTTTTTTATTCTTCTGAGCAAATAGTCATCTTTTATGCATGTGAAATTGAGCATTAATAATAGTGGCCAGAAAAGATATACATCACATGTTCATACATCCTAATAAATTACATTTTTTTATTATTTTGAAATTAAGTAGATTGTGTTTGTATAGAAAAACTCAAATTTCAAAAGATAAATTATTTGGTTTGATAAAATTAAACAAATTAAAATAAATTTGAGAAATGGGATCATTTATAGACAAACATGATTATATTTGAGAAATGGTTTCGCGAATGAAATAAGCCACTTAAACGGGGGGTTAAAATTCTATCTCATTTTGATTTTATATAGTTGAATTTATCGTATTATTAATTAAATTTAAATATTAATTTTAATAAAAAAATTTTATAATTATAATAATTATTATTATTTGTAATTTTATCAAAATTAATATTGTAATAAATTTTATTATTATTTTTAATCTCAAAATGCCATCAGTTTGTCTTCACACTAAAGGCAGCCATAAGCAATATTGTCTTACAGACAGTTCAGTGAAGCAAATGATAGATGGTAGAAAGAAAGAGAGGGAATTATTTAAATGGAAGAATACGACAGAGAATAGACATTTCGTAAATGAAAGAAGGGACCTTTTCTTTCCCCTTTTTTTCTTTTTTAGAGTTTGGAGATTGGTGTGAGAATCCCCAGGAGCAAAATGGACGATTTTCTAATTTTCCCTGTCAAAACCCTTTCCATTTTATCGCACCGTCGACTCTGTCCTACACCGTGTTTGTTTTTGTTTTGCTTCGATAGTCAAGGTTCTTTTCTTTACCTTTGAGCCATGCAAACCAAAAAAAAATCAGTAGAGGCTGACTCTGCTGCCCTGGAAAGGCTTTTAGCTTGCACCCCTTAACCCTACGAGCCTTGGTGCGTTTTTGGCAAAAATCACAGTACGAGAACGGGCTTGGCTTTGGGTTCTAAGCTATGGTTTGAAAGGCGGTTTCACTCTTTCAGTTCTGTTGTGGGTTGACTGGTAGTGAATGGTCTGTCATTTCATGCCATTCTTTAACTTAGAATGGTAAGCCAAGCGGGAACCCCATTTGCAACTGGTATGGAAAGATTTTGTGGAAACAAAAAGAGCTATCAACCTTTCAAAAAATAAAATAAAATAAATTTAGTACAACTTTTTTTCTTCACATAAATAGTTTCGTTTGAAAATAAAAAATTTTAATATTACCCCTTTAAAGTAAAAAACTGGATTGAAAGACTTTCTAATTTTGTGTATAATCAAAATCAGACAGACAAAAAGAATACAATATTTTGCTGATAAATAGATATAATGAAACAGACCCTTGTCAAGATTTCTCGCCTGCTCATTGCAAGTATATTGTCTTTTCACTGGACCTATATCCCCCTACACTGGGAACTAATTGAACACCATTTGGGAACTGAGAAACTGCATAATACCATGTAATTCTCTAGCTAGTACTTACCTGGTTCTTTTATTATTTTTACACTTTTAGTTTCATGTTAATTACCAGTGTATAATTTACTTAATCAGTATTAATTAAATGTAATGCTGCATCTGAGTTATCTAAGAATCAATTAATTTTCAACTTAAAAAAATAAAAAAATTAATTAGATAAACTGTATTTAGAATTGAAAATCAAGCATGCATGGTTATTTAGAATTGAAAATCAAGCATGCATGGTTAAAATGAGACAATGTGAATAAGGCACTAACACTTTTTTGGGTTAAATTTATGCTAATAACACTATAACCTTAAATTTCTATTATACCGAGGGAAGGGGAATAAGAAAATAATGCAAAAATTATTTAAGTTGGTGCAAAACAATTACTTGGTTTAAAGTTGATTTCATTTTGCAAATCGAAACAATTTCTGCCAGGGGAAGGAAATGGAAAAGCCCAATAATTGAAATAGTTTTATAGCAGAGTCAGTGGCCCAACGTGCTTAAAAATTGGTCTGTCATGTTGCTCATCACAAATTGAGTTAGGACCCCCCTAAGTGTTTAAGAGCCCTATCGTAGCCCATTTTGCAAGTCCTTTGTGGACCAAGTTTTAAATTCTTAAACTGTGTTTGCTACAGTAATCTCTCATATTCTGGATGCTGCAGGCCGCAGCAAGCTTTGCATGACGATGCCCCTTTAAAGAATCACAGCAACTAGTGCTTGGAAGGTAAGTTTTCTTCCATTTGGGAGTCACGAATGTTGATGGGAAGGACTTCCTCAATTACTTCCAATTAACCAATGAGTTATACAGCTGAAGACTATGTCAACAACACCAAAGAATTTCTTACTCTTGAGCTCCCTATCATCAAGGATTTCTGTTGCATCCATGGCTTGAATCATTTTCTCCTCCTTTGGCTTGTCCTCCACTGAATATAAAGCTTTCCTCAAAAACCACAGATTATAACTACTAAATCATGCTTGGATATTTATTTGAAAATTTTCAATGATGAATCTTCCAATAATCTTTGAATAAATTTTTGTCAATATTTTATGATCAATTGAATGAACTATTCAATTATCCCAAAAAAATTTATTAAAAAAAAAAAAATTTGAATGTGCTATTCCTGTCAACAGCTTTTGATAGTTTATTTAATGGTAAAAAAATTTCATATGGTCTTCAAAATATAACTGAATTTTGCCCGATATTTAACATTGATTTGTTGAGGAACAAACTTAATTTTATGGTAAAAAAAAAGATATATTTTTCAGTAGTCAATAAATTAATCTTTTTTATTCAATAAAATCCTCTACAACTAGAATAAAATTGAAGGCTAAATTAATTTTTTATGCATATATAGATCGTGTCCACAATCGGGATAATCATCAAGCTTGCAAATTTCTTAAGAGAAATTTTTTGAATCCGATTCAGATAAGTCACTATAATAATTTCTGTCCAACATCAAGAATGTTATTTTAAGAAAACAAAAAAATAAAAAAAAAATGAAATTCTAAATCAACAACGATGACATTGTTCCCATCTTGTTGTCCACTCCATTTTCTTTACTGAATTATAAGCCACACAAAACCAGCAACATCAACAGCCCAATACCTTTCACTCCTGTTTTGGAATTGTTTGTTTCTGTTTGTCCCTCAAAGGATGCTATTGCCAATGCCAATGCCATTGGCACTCAACTTTCACTTGTCTGCGATTTTGACAACAACAGGCTCTTTCCAAAATTCCTGTTCCATTGCCATCTATGGTGCTGTTCAACGATGTTGCAATCTTGGAAAATCAAGGGAATCACTCAAAATTATTTCTATTATTATGAGTAAGGTAGTTGTCATATATAGCTGGCTAACTTACAGATTTTCTCCCATATAATAAATTTTATTAAAAACTAGGAGAAACTCTCTACTTTTCCAAATTAAAAGATAAGGGAAATGGAAGAACTGCTTTTTCTTTCATTGTCAGCTGTTAGAGTAAACTAAATGAATTTAAAGCAAACAAACCAAAAAAGAAAAAAAAGCAGAAAAAACAAAAGGAGGCAGGTAGGGAAAGAAAGTCTAATTTGTGGAACCGAAAAATTGTATTATACACTACACCTTTTTG